ACACACTATACACACACAACACCATACACACAACACTATACACACACACACTATACACACACACACTATACACACACAACACCATACACACAACACTATACACACACACACTATACACACACACACTATACACACACAACACCATACACACAACACTATACACACACACACTATACACACACACACTATACACACACAACACCATACACACAACACTATACACACACACACTATACACACACACACTATACACACACAACACCATACACACAACACTATACACACACACACACACACACACACACTATATACACACACACACACACACACACACACACACACCATACACACACACACACACACACACACACACACACACACACACACACACACACACTATACACACACACACCATATACACACACACACACACACACACACACACACACACACACACACACACACACACACACACTATACACACACACACACACACACACTATACACACACACACACACACACACACACACACACACACACACACACACACACACGTTAATATAGTATCATAAATTTTCCCTTACTCTTCCTCTTTCCCTCCCCTTCATTTCAACCTCCTGAGTTCTTGCCCCCCTGCTAGTGTGTGTGTTGCTCTCGGTCTGTCGTCACTCTCCTACTTTCTCATTCATATTCTTTGTCATTTATTTGTTTTTCTTTAAACATTATTATTATTATTATTATTATTATTATTATTATTATTATTATTATTATTATTATTATTATTATTATTATTATACTTCTCCTCTGTCTTCTCCCTCCTCCCTCTTCCCTCCCCCTCTTCTCCCTCTCCCTCCTCCTTCTTCCCTCCCCCTCTTCCTCCTCCTCCTCCTCCCCTCGGCAGTATCAAGTAACCAGCTGGGATAGTTAATACCCAGTTAACCTTCACCCTGAATTACATAGATGGTGTTGTTGTGAGATATTGTTGTGGTGGTTGTTGTGGTTGTTGTTGTGGTTGTTGTGGTGGTGAGGTGATGTCACTACCAAGCGCGAGTCACCAATTGGCTGGTCAAAAAGGTCCCAGTCCTATTAGACCCCAGTCCTAATAGACCCCAGTCCTAATAGACCCCAGTCCTAATAGACCCCAGTCCTAATAGACCCCAGCTTTGATAGACCCCAGCATTAATAGGCCCTAATCTTAACAAGCTCCAACCCTGATAGACCCGTCCTAATAGACCCCAACATAACATTAACATCAGACTGGGTTCCTAGTCCTAAATGATTAATGATTTAGATAAATTAAGGACTAATTAACGGGGCTGGAACCTCGCGCGCGCGCGCGTGTGTGTGTGTGTGTGTGTGTGTGTGTGTGTGTGTGTGTGTGTGTGTGTGTGTGTGTGTGTGTGTGTGTGTGTGTGTGTGTGTGTGTGTGTGTGTGTGTGTGTGTGTGTGTGTTTTCTTACCCACAGGTATTTCCTCCGTCGTCACACAAGCACCACCGCCTCGTCTCTTATATTGTAATCCTCACATGAGTGGTGGGTTTCTCATGTCTACGGTACCCCACCTCTTGGTACCACTACACCTCTTGGTACCACTACACCTGTAGGTACCACTTGGTACCACTACACCTCTTGGTACCACTACACCTGTAGGTACCACTTCACCACTTGGTACCACTACACCGGCAGGTACCACTACACCTCACAGGTAATTTCACCTCACAGGTATACGGTACTGGTGATGGTACCAGCATGTCGTGGGGGTGCCCACATAATGTTCTCCGCCGCCATGATAAAAGACTCACGTATTTACCCTAACCGCTAGACTGAACACCAGCTATGTCTCCCCCCTCCCTTACTATCTACCCTTCACCCCTTGGGTTAGCTAAGCTAATAGTGTGTTAGGGTTGTGTCATGGGTTAGTTGTCTTTCGGTACAGGCACTAGACATCCTACCCTATCCCATATATGGGTGTTTTGAGGGCCATATTTCGTATTCCGCCGACCCTACTGGCGGATGCTGGTCTAGGGAGGTTGTCTATTGCCTGGCCGTATAGATAGGAGGAGGTAATGGACCTTTTGAGATTTGGTAGCTCTTTGGAAACCATGTATGGTCGTTGTCGTTGTCTTTGAAGGGGTTCTTGCTCTGATCGTCTATCTTTTGCCAGACTCTGCTGGCCAGAGTGTGTAGCTGCTGGTTGATGGGTTTTATTCTCAGGTCTCTATGTATCTCGGCTGTGGTTCTGGTGAAGGGGCATCTTTCACCTGTGACGAATCTCAGGGCTTCATTTTGGACCCACCTGTAATTTTAATAATTGAGTGGTGCTCATAGTATGAAGCGGTACTGCTGGGTAAGTTAATATCGGTATGATAAGTGATGTCACCAGGCGGAGTTTTATTTTCTCAGGAAGCGCGTTAAAGCGGTATAGGTTTCTCGGCTCTCTTCTTGCCTTTTCCTTCCTGGTGTGGACATGATGGGAGTAACTTGTCGTGGATATATGCAGGCCCAGGAGGGTTCCTCTGCTTTTGTATTCTATCTGGGCATTATTGGCTACTAATGGATGGGTTTTCCTTCTGCATAAGGGTATCACTGTGAATTTCGGGAGACTGGTTTGGATTTCTCAGTCACCACCCACGTTACATTTCACCCACGTCAAACCTCACCTACGTCACATTTTACCCACGTCACCCCTCCCACGTCACCCCACACCCATGGTTACCTCTCGCACGTCACACCTCACCACGTCACCTCCCGTCACCCCTCCCCCGTCACCCCACACCCATGGTCACCTCTCACCCCCAAAGACCAGGATTCTCAGAGACTCGTAAAGACTTCTTCCTCGTAAATTAAAATGTAAGAATATTTACCATGTTAATTGAATTGCGATTTATTTACTGTCCTGAGGTATATATTCTTGATCCTACATCTGTCTGCTTATATGTCTGTCTGTCTTTCTATATATCTGATTTTCTATATGTTTCTATCTCTAATTATCTGTCTGTCTGTCTGTCTACCCCCTCACACTCACACCATTAATCGCCTCGCTTTCACCTGTACCCTCATGTTGACCCAACCAGTGTACCAGGTAATGCTCTCTGTGTTGATTAATTTTTTGTACTAATAACATATTATTATTATTATTATTACGATATTTTTATTTTATTTTGTATTTTTATTTTATTTTTTAATTTAGTGTGTGTGTGTGTGTCATCAGTATTTTGCTTCATTATGACAAGTTTTATTTCATTCAGAACTCTGACCTTATACACACGCACACACACACACACATACAGAAACGTAAGACATCACTGGCCGTTGCCCTTGTTGACTTCAGGAAGGCCTTTGACCTTGTTGATCACTGCACTGTTATCAACAAGGCCATTGCACTAGGGCTGCCCACCAACCTGGTCTCATGGCTCACTGATTTCTAGAGTGGACGTCGCCAGGCAGTGAGGTATCAGGGCTCGGTCTCCACATTCCAACACCTCACCTGCGGTGTTCCCCAGGGGACCAAGATGGGACCACTGTGCTTCCTCATCCTGATCAACGACGCTCTATTGGACACTCCTCACAGGTGAAAGTACGTGAATGAATGCACTGTGGGGGTTTCAATGGACAACACCGCACCAGACTACTCATCGCTACAGGGCACCCTAGACAGGCTACAGGCATGGACTGCGGAGAACAATGTCACCATCAACCACACCAAAACCGTAGTCATGCACATCAATACCGGCACCACTCCAGTGCAAGCCCCAGCAGTCACAGTGGGTGCCCATCCTCTCCAGCTGGTGCAGTCTGCCAAACTCTTGGGTGTAACGATAGACAACAAACTGAACTGGGAGGCCCATGTAAATAACACAGTCAAGGCAGCCTCATACCGTCTCTACATGCTACGACGATTTAGGTCTCTTGGGACACCCACGCCAGAGATGGGGACTATCAACAACGCCTTTATTCTCCTCAAACTAACGTATGCGTCACCAGCCTTGTCGCCTTCTCTCAACTCCACCCAACAACGTCAGCTAGAGAAGGTACAGAAAGGGGCCTGCAGAATCATGCTCCGCGCAGAATACTCCGGCTACATCAATGCTCTCTTCACCCTGGAAATGCCATCCCTCAGTCACCTCCACCACCAAGCACTGGAAAGGTTTGGCAGCCAACTAATGCACCACCCTCGTCATCGCCACCTCCTGCCACCTGCAGCCCCCCACCCACCTCACGCAGTCCGCCACTACAACAAAATTCAGCCCATAAGAGCCCGCACTGATAGATATAAGAATAGCACCATTCCATCTTTTGTTAAAATAATAAACAACTCCTGATTTATGTACTGTACAGCCCTGTAAATGTATTCAACGCATATAATTTTGTCTAAATCAAATATAAGTCTGTACATTTTCAGCCACCAGCTGCAACTCTATTAATAAGCCGTTTATTATTATTATTACACACACACACACACACACACACTTGACGCAACACACCTTCCATGACGTGTTAGTTATTATACCAAACAATCACCCTCCAACCTCACCCTCCAACCTCATCCTCTAACCTTAACCTCCATCCACATCCTCCAACCTCACCCTTCAACCTCACCTTCCAACCACACCCTCCCACCTCACCACCCCACCTCACCATCCAACCTTACCCTCCAACCACACCCTCCAACCACACCCTCCAACCACACCCTCCCACCTCACCCTCCCACCTCACCCTCCCACCTCACCCTCCAACCTCAAACCCTCTAACCTCATCCTCCCACCTCATCCTCCCACCTCACACCCCTCACCATCCCACCTTACCCTCCAACCACACCCCTCCCACCTCACCCCTCCAACCTCACCTCTCTCACCCTCTAACCTCTAACCCACCACCACCACCACCATCACCACCACCACCACCACCACACCAACAGGGACAGGTGAGTAGGGTGAGTCAGCCTACACCAGACTCCCGCCAGCTGGTCACAATGTGTCCCTCCCCTGACCTGGGCTGACGGTGGCTGATGCTGGGCTGACGGTGGCTGATGCTGGACTGATGGTGGCTCATGCTGGGCTGACGGTGGCTGATGCTGGGCTGACGGTGGCTGTTGCTGGGCTGATGGTGGCTGATGCTGGGCTGATGGTGGCTGATGCTGGGATGATGGTGGCATGCTAGGCTGACTGTGACTGACGACAACCTCGGCTGGTCACTGTGACGTGCTGACGACGACAAGAGACGAAGTGAAGAGGTGGTGACGTCACTAACCTAACCTACCCTTGAGGATAATGAGGCACCTTGACGTGGTCCTCGAGGGGGATGGGTATAAGGATCAGGTAGTCAGGGTGAGATCACCTTCAAGTGACGTGTCCGCCTCACTCATTTATTTTATTGGGCAAGAATTTCTGAAGTGGTGGTGGTAGTGGTGGTGGTGGTGGTGGTACTAGTGGTGGTAGTGGTGGTGGTACTAGTGGTGGTGGGAGTGGTGGTGGTGGTGGTGGGAGTGGTGGAGGTGGTACTAGTGGTGGTGGTACTAGTGGTGGTGGGAGTGGTAGTGGTGGAGGTGGTACTAGTGGTGGTGGTACTGGTGGTGGTGGTGGTGTGGTGGTGGGAGTGGTGGTGGTGGTGGGTGGGTACTAGTGGTGGTGGGAGTGGTGGCACTAGTGGTGGTGGGAGTGTGGTGGTGGTGGTGGAGGTGGTACTAGTGGTGGTGGTACTAGTGGTGGTACTGGTGGTGGTACTAGTGGTGGTGTGGTGGTGGTGGTTCTGGTGGTGGTGGGAGTGGTAGGTGGTTCTAGTGGTGGTGGTGGAGTGGGGAGGTGGTACTAGTGGTGGTGGTACTAGTGGTGGTGGGAGTGGTAGTGGTGGAGGTGGTACTAGTGTGGTGGTGGTACTGATGTGGTACTGGTGTGGTGGTACTGGTGGGTGGGGTGGTGGTGGTGGTGGTGGTGGAGGTGGTACTAGTGGTGGTGGTGGTGGTGTGGTGGTGGTGGTGGTGGAGGGTGTGGTGGTGGTGGTGGTGCAGTGGTGGTGGAGTGGTGGTGGTGGTGGTGGGTGGATGGTGGTGGTGGTGGTTAGTGGTGGTGGTGGTGGTGGTGGTACTTGGTGGTGGGAGTGGTGGTGGTGGTGGTGGTGGTGGTGGTACTAGTGGTGGAGTAGGTACTAGTGGTGGTGGGGGTGGTGGGTGGTAGCAGTGGTGGAGGTGGTACTAGTGGTGGTGGGAGTGGTGGTACTGGTGGGAGTGGTGGTGGTGGTGGTGGTAGCAGTGGTGGTAGTGACGCAGGGTGATAGACTATTATCACAGGAAATATAACGTATTTACTATAAGATATACCAGATGGTTATAATTCCGTTATACATCAAGACAAGAGATGCATATATTATATACCCGAGTATAACCGCTGACTGGTGCGGTATATAAGGACTGGTTATATGACCTAGATATATCAGGCGATATATCCCGGGTATAACCCATGGCGGGAGAGGAAGGTTAGGTTAGCTTTAATCGGGAGGTGATTTACTGGTGGGTGTGGTCTGGTCTCTCTCTCTCTGACCCAAGATTCAGCACACCTCACAGAAGCTTCTGAAGATGGTCCACTGGCTCCCTACCTAACCTAACCATCTCCTTTAACACGTGTTGTAGTTAAGTTTGGACTATCTTCCGCTTCATTATGCCCAGAAACACATCTTGTTGATACAGAAGATAAACAAGTCTGGAGTGTTAGCGGTTGACCAGTTAGGTGTGCTTGTCCCACTCGTTGTAGCATAGTGGCCATCAATTAGCGGCTGAGCAGGATAGTGTACAGTGTTTATGGGGGGGTAGGTACCACTCCATGGGGGGGTAGAGGAGGTTAAGGGTACGGGGGATGTGATGCGTGACGTTCATTGGTCTAGAATGTTTGTTATTGTCAGTGATAACATGAAGATTAACCCCCCTCTCTCTCTCCCTCCAGGTTAGGTTAAGTCAGGTTTTGCTGAGAAAGAGGATTTTAAAAATTTGGGTGAGAAACTAAATATTTAAAGCATTTACAGACGAAAACTAATTCACAGCATTTATAAGTGAGAAACAGCATTTACAGCATTGAACGTTAAGAAATAAACACAAGTCTCTTTATTTACATTATTCCAATTCGTCTATTTATCACCTAGTTTCTTAACTCAATCTTTATTCATTGTCTTATCTCCGGGTCTCGCTTCCATCATTCTTCCATTCCATTCATTATTCACGTCTTTCTATTATTCTTATCTTTATTCGCTTATCTGTTGCTTCCTTCTACTCTAATCTTCTTCTTCTGTTCATTGATTCTTTCTCATTTATTTCTTAATGGGATTGAAATTCGTCCATTTATCTTCAGGAGAGTTTCAAAATGGTCCAAGTCTCTCTCTCTCTCTCTCTCTCTCTCTCTCTCTCTCTCTCTCTCTCTCTCTCTCTCTCTCTCTCTTATCTCCCTGGCCTGGCGTCTCTCTGTCTCAGCATGGTGTAACAGTGGCTCCTTATCTCTCTATCTCTCCCCGCCACAGTCGTGATAAACCATTACAATCTCCCCCAGAACTCCCACACCCTGTCATATCTTTTTAACTATATGGCACCTTCACCCTTGCCACACCTTCACCCTGCCAGCCACACCTTCACCCTGCCAGCCACACCTTCACCCTGACAGCCACACCTTCACCCTGCCAGCCACACCTTCACCTTGCCAGTCTCACCTTCCCCTGCCTCCACCTTCCCCCTGCCAGTCTCACCTTCACCCTGCCAGCCACACCTTCACCCTGCCAGCCACACCTTCACCCTGCCAGCCACACCTTCACCCTGCCAGCCACACCTTCACCCTGCCAGTCTCACCTTCACCCTGCCAGTCCCACCTTCACCCTGCCAGTCTCCCTAACCTGACCTACCCTGCTAACCCCGATAGTGTGACCTCAGAACCCACCCTTATGGCACCCTACCTTGAAAAAGACCTCACTTAACCAAGCTGTTGTCATGGAAACGAGGTGTCTCTGTTGTTTTGGTGATCAGCAGTGTTTCCCGGGCTGAGGGGGACACACACACACACACACACACACACACACTTGGTAGTGATGACATCTGGTCCCGCACTTCACTGACCAAACTAGCCATAGATTGTCTGTCTTTACCTGACGTCCCCAAGATAAGGCAAGCAGACAAGCGGGACGGGGCGAGACGAGACGGGGCGGGGCGGGGCGGGGAGGGGCGAGGCGAGGCGGGGCGGGGAGGGGCGAGGCGAGGCGGGGTGGGGTGGGGTTGGGTGGGGTGACGGAGTACTCACAGCGCCGCCATAGTCCCTCGTGGCCCCAGGCAGCGGGAGTCCTACTCATAACATTCTTCTTGGGGACATTCTGCTGCTTCTTCTTTCCCGACACTTGTATGTCGGCCATCTGTGTGTGTGTGTGTGTGTGTGTTCTGTGATTGAAAGAAACTGTAGGTTCTTATGTAGAAAAATAATAACAAGAACAGTAATAATAATAATAACATTAATAATAATAATAATGATAATAATAATAATGATGAAAATAATAATATTGTTTATCATTGTTGACAAAAGTTGTATTATATTACAGGTAAGTGAAGGATCACCTGTAATTACCTCATCACTACCAGGTGAGTGAGGGACCTGACCTGACCTAAGATGGTGGTTGTGGTGTTGGGGTGATAGTTGTAGTAGTGGTTGTTGGTGGTGGTGAGTGTTGTTGGTGGTGGAAAGTAACCACTTGAGGGAGATCCTACTTATTTGTTCTGGACTTGAGGGTTAAATCTGCAGGTGTGTTAAGAGTTCCTTGTTATCTACTCCTACACACACACACACACACACACACACACACACACACACACACACACACAGTGATAAACTCTTTTAAATTCATTCATATTTTTCTTCTTCTAATCTTATCTAAACATTAAAACAAAGGTTCTAATCGACCCAGTCAGCCTACACCTTACCTGGCCTCTGAGTTAGAGTGGCTTAATTTAGGTTATGTTTGGTTATGTTAGGTCAGGTCGAGTTAGTTTAAGTTAGGTCAAGTTATTTCAAGGTCGTGTACGATAATATGGTGTAGGTTAGGTAAGGATAGGTAAGTTAAGGCTGTTTAGGTTAGGTTGACTTAGGTTAGGTTAGGAAAGGTTAGGTTGACTTTAGTTAGGTGTGGTTACATATTGTTATCGTCCACATCACACAGTGTGACGGCGGTAGTGTGGTACGGTAAGGTGTCTGGCGTCAGTGTGTCGCTTCCGGCTTAACATATCGTTAGTATCACTGATAAGCGAGGCGCGTGACACCCCAGAGTCGTGTGGGGGTTGTGTGGGGTCGTGACGGGGGTCGTGTGGGGTGTTGACAGGGGTCGTGTTGGGTTGTGGGGGTCGTGACGGGGGTCGTGTGGGGTGTTGACAGGGTCGTGTTGGGTTGTGGAGGTCGTGACGGGGGGTCGTGTGGGGGTGTTGACAGGGGGTCGTGTTGGGTTGGTCGGCGTGACAGGGGTCGTGTGGGGTGTTGACAGGGGGTGTGTTGGGTTGTGGGGGGGTCGTGACGGGGGTCGTGGGGAGTGTTGACAGGGGGTCGTGTTGGGTTGTGGAGGAGGTCGTGACAGGGGTCGTGTGGGGAATGGTGACAGGGTCGTGTTGTTGGAGTTGTGGAGGCCGTGACGGGGGTCGTGTGGGGTGTTGACAGGGGGTCGTGTTGGGTTGTAGGAGGTGTGACGGGGGGTCGTGTGGGTGTTGTTGACGGGGGGTCGTGTTGGGTTGTGGAGAGTCGTGACGAGTGGTAAACACGTTAACGTTGCGTTAAGTGAGTAATCTGGGTGGAAATACACTGGGGGGAATCTTCAGGTAATCCTTAATAATTTGTTTCCATAACTTTCATCAATTGTAAATTTTTGGTTCCTCTTACAGCTGGGTGGACTAAAGGTGCCCCCGGACGCGAACCAATGAATCTTAGGACGGGAAGAGAGTGCTGAATCCACTCAGCCTCCGCTCATTTTTTGTTATCAGATTCCAGTCTTTAATACCTTGTCGTCCTACCCTAGCGGCCCGCAGCACCCTCTTCACAACACCTACAGTATGTGGAGTGAGGCGCGGGAGGAAAGTGAGGGGTGAGGCGCGGGAGGCGGGTGAGGCACAGGAGAAAGTGAGGGTGAGGCACAGGAGGAAAGTGAGGTGAG